ATCTTCACTACAGTGCCACATTTATTTTTTAAAGAAAAAAAAAAAAAAAAGCTGACTGAAAAAATCACTTTAAAATACTTTTTATTATAAATTCATGGATTTCTCTGATCTATTAAATTAAACTATTCCGCCTGCCCAAGAAACAGTAGCTCATGTGAATCCATTTCAAGTGGATTATCCTAGGTGGAAGTTCAAGCCATACTCCATGATTTGGGAGAAATAAAAAAGTTTTATTTTTATTATAGTATGTAAGCTTTCAAAAAAAAAAAAAAAATTAAACTGCTCAAGATTTGAGGAGTTAAAAATCCTAGGAGTAGGATTCTCACCTTTAAAAAAAAAAAGTTTTGAAAATAAAATGCCATGTTGAATCTGCCACTATTGCACATATTTTTTATGTTTCCTTCAACTGCATGCCCTTCATGATGCTGGTGGAAAGCTTCTATCAGCAATTAGCTCATCAAGACATGTGGTTTAATTTTTAGGTAGTTCTACATGGAGCTGGAAGCTGGACTCAATGATCCTTACAGGTCCCTTACAGCTCAGGGTATTCTAAGACTCTGTGATAAAAAAAAGCCTTGTGGCTAAAATCTGGCTCTTTCTTCATAACACTGTAATACCTGAGAAAAAAAAATCAAATCGGTTGAAACATAAAAGGGAAGGACATTCAGTAACATCTTTACAGTCAGGAACTTGCTAATAAATTTTGGTAACCATATAATAACAGTTTTATTTTTCTTACATATATACAGGATACCAGACTGTTCTGCTGGAATTATTCAATAATATTGCTTTTTTTTGTTTTACCAAACTGAACAATAACTGTTTTGTTACTTAGTGCCATGATAAAGGAATATTTCAGATGGAAAAATAAATGTACTCTGTACTGTGGATAGAGGGAAACTGTGTTCATTCCTTTAATAACTCCTTCAGAAACTCAACAGCACACAGATGCACACAAGTAAATAAACCAACAAGTGGATAAATTTATTTGTAGGAAATACGTGCAATGCAGAAGTAAAAACAAACAACAAAATAAAAAAAAAATCAGTAAATTTTCATGGGGAAGGCAAGAAAAAAGAAAAAGAAACAAGGAATGGTAACCTGCACAAAGCTTTAGTTGCTGCAATGTCAGCAGCTCTGTACAGAAATCAATCACTCTGCATTGTTTACTGTTCTCTTGATCCCAGAGAAAAGGAAGATGGATGCCTTTTTTCAAAGAAATGAAAAGACAAACCTCTGAAATTCCAAACATGCTGGACACATGATAAATGTTAGTTTAGTAAGATAAATAAAAAGGGTTTAATAAAGAGAAGCCCAAACTTCAAACTTTTACTTCAGTGAGCTTTTTTTTTTTTTTTTTTTTTTTTTTTTAAATCTGAAGGCTTGGATTGTGAAGTTGTGAAGAATTTGCACGTGGTTTATTACTTACAGACAAAAAAAAAGCGGATACTGTTCATTTTTTCTTATTTCTGAATGATTCAAGAAAGCAGGAAGAACATATTGCTATTTAACATATATTGTGTATATGACTGTCAAAAAATTTTGATAAGCTTTATTTTAAAGCATGCTCTGTTAGCAACTTCCATCTCCTACTTTACAGCATCATTAGAACAAAAATCTTTACTTCAACTAATGTAAGCAATAACAAGGAGCGCCTAATATATTACTACCTAGACTGCATTATACTACATAATGCATAGGAGGCCTCAGAATGAAGGAATTCCAATTAATATATCATATGTCCAAAATTATTGTTACTGATAGCTGTGTGTACACACAAAATATTCATGTCTGTACATCTGTGTCTTCCTATCAGCATACGGAGTTTAATTAGGAGCTTTTCTGAATAAGAAAACAATGACCACAATTTCCTGGAATTCATTTCTGAGAATTTTCCCAGACCTTCTGAAAGATTGAACTGATGAATTGAAAAAGATGATTTCAAAGCATATTCCACAGATCTCCTGTAAGGAATTCTTAAGTAAACCAAGTATGCTATGCTAAAAGAATTTTAAAAAATACGCTTCCGCTCAAATTAATCAGCATTTGTTTCTTTCTAGCAGTGGAAAATCTATATGTAGTATAAATAACCCCAGAATGACTTTTGAAATTGAGAAAAAATGTTTAACAGCTTGGTTCAAATTCATGTGCTTCTGGAAGATAACGTATCTATGAATAGTAGTACACGGATCAACAGCTCAGCTTGAGCAGTTTACTTATGCCAATCAATCAATGTACATTGATTGATACTTTCCGGAGCTAGCCTGTGCCTCTGTGACTCTATTCCCTATGTTCCATCAAGACATTTTTCATTTCTATCTGTAAACTGATACAATCATACCTGATTAGAGTCTAAGAAGAAAAATATCAAAATAAATACTTGATAGAACATCAGCTACTCTGAACTACTGAATGCAACTCTATGAAATAAGCTCAAAGGACTACAACTGGGTAGTAAGAGACTTCTCCCAGAGAGTTTCACCCACATGAATTCTGCCTGTTACTAGTTAATTGTGTATAACAAATGACAACTCCTTTGCAAATTAAAATGCACATAAAGAATACATTTTACATCTTTCTTCAGCTTAATTGCATTTTGGTCATGTTTTGAAATCTCTTTATCCACCGATAATGCAGTATTTAAGTTTTACTAGTTTGTGGTTTTTTTTCCCCCTTCAGTAATGGAAGAGGACTGAAACATTCATATTGGTTATTATACATGGTGTGATTAATTGCCTTGTTTCATTTTTGTTTATATAGGAAAAACTATGGTACTCTAAAAAGTGTTACCATAACAGGTAGCATTAGGGTTAAAATTTCACATTTCCTCAAATATATACATACATACATACATCAAAACTTGCTTTAAGTTCTCTGAACTTTATAGTGATATAAAAATAAAGGAGTTTTGGCAATCTTTTAAAGGATTTTTTTGGGGCCACAGATAGTAATAATCACACAGAATGAAAAAGTGCTAGTCTGGTTTTATCTAGAACAATAGGCAGGCGTGATATAGTATTTTTAGATCCTTAACTATTGTTAGCATCATTCTTCCTATTACAACCTTACTTCTCAACCTCTTAATATATCTGACAATAATCTATGATCGCTGCCATATATAATTTGTTCCTTTAAATGAGTATACAATTTAATAATGCACTAACATACAAAGTTCATACACATCTTAGAACTACGCCTCTTTTCTTCCTCCATAACTTAAAATAACTTATACCTTTACCTTATCATTTCAATATACATTATAAATGTTGTTCTACTTTCTTAGTTTTAAACTATCTAGTGAAAATACGCTGGTGAATACAAAAAGGTTCTTCAAGAAGCACAGTAACCTAGCTGTAACCTAACCTGTACTATTTCATTTTACTCAATTTTACTTCAACTGCTATAAAAGGCAATACAAAATCTGTGACAAACATTACTCAAATGTTATAATTTGTGAAAGCTATACAATTACACAACTATTTTTAAGAAAAATCTCAACATTCTGTATGATAGCTAAAGAAATATAGTTATAAAAAAATCTAGCACAGTATTTTCACCTATGCAAAAACATGAATAATATGCATACTCTGAAGGGAAAGCTCCAAGCAGCTCTCTTGCACCTGAACATCGTCAGCTAAAATGCAAGACTATATTTCCAATATCTTGCTGAGTGAATCGTCTTCAAATGTGCAATTGTAGAAAGGCACACCTGTGAATTTCCTAGTGCAACTAAGCTGAGGAAAAATTAAGTCACAGAGCACAAGTTATGTCAATAACGTCCTGTCAATCAAATTCTGCTTTTCTAACATTAGTGTTCTACAAAGCAAATTTTCTGTCTTCTACTTTCATAACCACAGAACATCAAATGGTGCTCTTCCCTTAAGCAATTTTCTACTAATAGATTAGTATAGAAGCAGCGGGCATGTTAGTTACTGATAATAACAGCATTTGACCTAATCAGAAGTACTCCCTGTATATAAGTGATATAAGTACTAAAAATCAGTAAGTACAGGAAAAGAAACACATATACTGCACGGTAAAACATGGGTAGCTCCACAATTTTCAAAACTTTTTGCATTGAGTCAACAATCAGTCAGAACATTATTTTTGTCAGAAATGCGATGACACTCACTAAAAATGCAGAACACATTGGTGATGTTACAACATTTGTTTTAGCAGTATAATATAAATCAGCATCATGCAAAAGAGCAATCAGAAAACAGAACTGACAGTAGTGTTTTACAGTACTTCATAAATCTCATGCCTGAAGAGAAAATGACAGAGCAGAACCAACACCAATGCTGATTTTTAATCACTGCTGTCTAGATCTAGCAAATGGCTGAGCAAACAAGTCACGTACCACAGAAATTTATGTTCCAAAATCTAAAGTCGTGTTCTTGAAAAGCTTGAAGATCAAAAAATATCTGTAAATCATCCTTCTAATTTTAGCAGTACTAAAAGATATAAGGCACTGTAATTTCTGAACTTTAGAAGTCCCTAACTATATAAAAATTGTATACACATGTAGATGCAAAAGAATTTCAATTCTGGCAGTCAGAAAATTCTCAGCTCAACTCCTTGGTATCTGCAGGCATTTAATCTGGTATTCCCAGGGGTTGCCTAACACCCGCTAATAAGTCTGCCTCTCAATGACTACTGTACTGCCCACCACTTTGCCTATACCATATTCAGTGGGATACTTTTTGCAGCGTAATTACCTTTTCCTTCAAATAGTGTTGGAATAGTATTACAAAAGTGCGATCTCAATAGGAGTACTTTCTAGGAATGAGGACAGATGCCTTTAGGAGAGGGTCCCTATACCAAATATAGATTCCATCATGGTGACAGATTAAGAAAAGCTACTTCAGTGCAGAATTTTCTTGTACTCGGGGTTTTTTACTTCAACTATCCCTGAACTGAGTAAATTTGAACTAAGATTGATGCTACATATAACAAGAGAATGAGAGACAGAAACAAACGAAGATAAAAAAGTACTTTACCTCACTTTTAAATTGCCTTGCTGTGGCTGTCCATCATAAATTGACAGTATATCAAAATCTTCCTCGAGGGCGAAAGTATGAAATGACAATTGTATCCTGTTTCGTTCTCCTGTGATAATGATCCATGTACAGTTGGCATAATTTGGATAACCATGAGGAAATCCAGGGCTTTCTATAGTACCGTTCGGTCCCTGTACTAAACCTCCACAGTTTTGACCTGAAGAAGAAGAAAGCAAAACAAGCATTTCAGTGGATTTTTCCTCCCACAGTACATATTCTTACATGAGTGACTATATGGATAATTAATGTTATATTTTTTCTTATATTCCAAACACAATGTAAAATCACATTTATACTGTTCTTCTCTCTGAATTCAAAACCGCACCGTTGGCTTTTCTTAGACACGTATGTTCTTTTTATGCAATTAATCATTATTTGAGGTTATGTAGCATTAATAATGTATGACATATTCATCCAAATGTGAAAATAAAGCATTAGTCTTGATGCCATAAATTCAACAGTTGGACAGTTTTAATGCGAGAGAGCATTCATAGGTTTTCTGGTGGATACTGTTTACAATTTTTTTTATATATATAAATACATAATATTTTTATATAATTTTTCTTGTAGAGAGATCTTATATAAACTATAAGGGTGTTTCAGATCTGAAACATGCCTTCAACATCAAAAGTAAACTGCAGATACATGTTTATTATGCGTTCTGCTGATACCAACAATAATACTGTCATACTTAGGAAACGCAGCCAAATCTCTAAATATAGAACATTTAGGGCTCTGTATTGTGATCAAGATAGTATGAACTTTGTTTTTAGGATTCAAGAATAACAGCATTAAGGATTTACTCAGCAGGTATTTGTCTGGTTTGTACATCATACAGATCCTGTGAGGCTCATTAATGGGAAGTCTTCAGCAAAAAGCGTTCGTTTACTGCGCACACTCAATAATTTTCAACTCGATTTTGTTAATCCCACACACAGTTCTTGTATTGCCTCTGACCTGAAGAGAAGTATTAATGAAACAGTTGAGGAGAGAGAAGTTTAAGGACATTCTCTGCACTGTAATGCTTGGATTATTATACGCATTTAAGCACTTCAGAACAAGTGTAATCCCAGCATTTATTGTTATACCTAAACCAGGAAACCATTTCAGGCTGCAATTTTATTTTTAACTTCACAGTAGTAGGTTTCTGAGACTGAATCTTTCTGAGCAGCGCTGTCAAATGCTTGTGGGAGGTTTTCAAATCTTAATAAAATTGATCTAATAAAAGAGATTCACAGTTAAAACTAAAGAACTAATAGGTAATCATTACTAAATTCAAATCTAACAGAAACTCTAATGAATAGATAAAAAGGCTGCAGGGATTCAGGAGGTCTTTAAAGTAAAAATCTTCTCTAGCATATCTATCAATTGATTCAGATTGCTTTAATAAAACACTGATGTTATTAAACGTTCCTGGAGAAGGAACATATTATGCCATGAACACAGTACAAAACTTTCAGTTATACACTGTTCATTGTAATTTGTCAGTATCCTTGCAGATTCTTGGCATTGCATTCCTTTTCCTACAACCACAGCAGAAATGTCACACAAACATCAGGGAACAATTTTAAATAACTTAATTACCACAGAAATATTTTTTTTCTGAAAATAAGAAAAGGAAAATTATAGTGACCACCCACTCTCCTAACACTGTAATAAGGTAATTCACATCACCAACATCCAGAAATCCATTTGTGTAAATCAAATCAAGTATCTCCTGTAAGCCATGCTTCTTTCCCACCACCCTGGAATGAAAGGGTTGATTTGAAAGAGGAGATCAAGCGTAGATCAAGTGTGAGTTAGCAATTTGCCTAAAATCTATCAAAGACAGAGTTCCCTTTTAGGAACAGAAATTGCATTAATAATGTAACACAAATGTTAGCTACATTTTAGACTTCTAGCCAGACAAACAAATTACCTCCTCAGTCTCTTAGGAAACACAGAAAATTGCTGATGCTAGCAAGTGATTTCTTCCACCCACAAAATGGTCCCAGTCCTGCAGCCTCCTGTGTTTCCACCTGCAGCCTTCAGTGACTGTTCCTCCACACTGACTCTCAGAAGCCCCACTAAGCCTTGTCTGTTCCACCCCTCAACCTATTTTGACAACTCTAATAGCCCACATTTTACCACCACCAGGATCACTTTCATTTATTTGAGAAGAAAAAAAAGAATAATTTCAGTCTACATTACTGAAAAATCTCCAAAAAGGTAAGATAACAAGAATGTGAGGAACTATGAGTAAAGAAACTAGAGCAGGAACAATGGATAAAGAAAGAGTAGAATACTTATTGAATACATTTATTTGAATTCTGTGTAAGTGGAATCTGAATTCTATAGTTTACACTGAAATTTTCCCACACTTCAGATTTATTCCAAAAAGGTGTTTTACTAATCCTTACTGTGGATTCAAGTTACTGTGTATTGTTCTCTTGGAAAATAAACTAATGATAAATGCGACAGCCAAGATTTTATCTCCATTTAACTTAGTCATTTCTTAGCATCTCTAGCCCCTTCTTCCCCCAGTTTGCTTTTGCTGTCTTTACATATTTATACACGTACATATTCACTGCCTATTCACTTTGTATTTGAGAAGCACAAAGAGAATAAGACAAGAAAATGTTCTTTGTGCTATTTAGCTTTGCTCTTGATTTTACATGTCTACATATGCATATATTTATTTAGTGATATAAAATGAAATAAATGAATAAAAATCCTGAATACATTTAATGTATAGCCAACTCCTAGCAATCTCTCTGCTGCACACTGGAAACTGCAAAGAATATTTCTTTCCAGACCTTAGCAATACTAAAAGAGACTACATGAAATGTGCAGTCCAAGAAAACTGGCATCTGTTTAGGTCCCTGCCTGAGTTATGACTCAAAATATGTTAAGGGAAAGGATATTTGGAAAAAGATCATCTGCTATCGATATAATACCTATTTTGTCAATAAATATAAGCCCAAATCCTCTAGAACTGTCAAATGTTACACCTCTGCTGAGGAGTAAATGCAGCATCAAATCACTTAAAATCTAAAAGTGAGATTCAGTAGGAGGATATACTTGGAGAGCAGGAATGAAGACGCTTACATGTGACAGGCAACAGCAAATTAGATAAGAGTTGGCAATGAAATATCATGCAAACAAATGCAGTTCCTAACTGCAGAGACACCACGGACCAGTAATTGGATACTGATGAGATTAATTATGAAGATTTTGTTTCTTATGCGTGCCTTAATAGCACATCATGTCCACAAATGCCAGAGAATTCAGAAACAAAGAAAAATAGAAATTAAATAAATTGAATATACTGACAAGAAAGTATTAAAGGAATACTCATATTAGCAGAGTTCTGCTGGGCTGAACATGAGCAGAAAAGAAATGTATGCTGAATACAACTGAATACACCTAAAAAAAGAATCTACTCATGCCATTCCCTTTAATTCTTGGTCCTTGTCAAATATACAGATTAAAAAATAAATAATGCCATTTTTCACTGAGGACAATATTATTACACTGAATTATTTTAATACTAAAAGTGTATCAGGCTGCCAATACTTCATTAGTTTGACATCACATCGTTGTTTGTATGAATGCAAATTGTATTATTAACATTAGTTTTTTGTTGAATCTTGGCTCGAAGAAGGTATTTCAGGACAGGTATTTTAACTTTATGATATAAGAAGTGTAATATAAAAAAACTGAAGCTCTTGAGTTGCAGTTTAAAATCACTGACACTGATTTCAGCCTTAGAAACTAAAGCTTACCTTAAAAATAGGGGATATTTGCTTATCCCCTACAAAGACTGCACACACCAGCTCAGGCACAACTTTTCTTAGCTGAGAACCGTAAGCGAAAGTACATGAGAAAAGCCTACAACTGCGATTTCACCTTAAGGTCAAATAGGATTCAAACCACTAAAAATCAGTAGAATTAAATACTGCTTTGTCATACAACTTCAAACAAAATGACAAAATGCAAACAGTCTAAATATTGTCTAAAAATCAGATACTTTTCTAAACCTTTATACATATGATAACTATATTCATTACATTCTCTTTTACCTGTAACTAATAATAATAACTAGAAAAGTACTTTTTTTTTTTTTTCCACGTAGTGAAATTGCAAAATACTTCTATAGCAAACAAAGGAAGGAAGAGCCACTTTTCTTCTTACAATACATGTTATGTGGAAAACTGATATAGATTACAGATGCATACTTATGCGCATACATATTCACCCACATTCAAAGAGAAAGTAGTGTCTGCATGATCACAGAATCATAGAACGGCCTGGGTTGGAAGGGACCTCAAGGATCATGAAGCTCTAGAACCCCCACTGCAGGTAGGGCCCCAACTTCCCCATTTAATACTGGACCAGGCTGCCCAGGGCCTCATCTAACCTGGCCTTGAACAGATCCAGGGACGGAGCATCCACAACCTCTCTGGGCAGCCTGTTCCAGGATCTCATCATTCTCATAGTAAAGAGCTTCCTCCTGATATCCAACCTAAATCTTCCCTCCTTCAACTTGAAACCATTTCTCCTTGTCTTGCTATTACCTACCCTTTCAAAGAGTTGAATAATACACATTTTGAACAAAAAAAATAAAACATCATAACTATAATAAAGTCACAGATGTTTAAGATATTTTGAACAATCACACTAATGAAAATGAAATCACATTTATTCTTGAGACTGTTGAGCGATGTCCTCCATTCTGCAGCTACAGAAGAATGTAATACTTGTGCTGAAGTCAAGAAGAGATTTTGATACCTGAAACTTGTGGATGCCCCATCCGTGGAGGCATTTGAGGCCAGGCTAGACGTGGTGTTGAGCAGCCTGATCTATTGGTTGGCGACCCTGCACATAGCAGGGGGGTTGGAACTGGATGAGCATTGTGGTCCTTTTCAACCCAGGCTATTCTATGATTCTACAGTACAAAATTCTTAAAATCTTTCTCATTAAATCTAAAAACATTCGAAGTCCAGCAAGATCCTAACATTCCCATTTTCTAAAGCCTGATCCTAATCTGAATTATTCTTATTAATAAGCAAACAAACAGTTTATTCAGGCCAGATCAAAGGAAGTAGTTTTTTCTCCAACAGCAAACCAAAGGAGGTACCTAGAAGAACTTCCCTGGAGAACTGTTCTCATCTCCAA